TGCCGTTTCCTTCCTTCCAGCCAGCTGTCGGGATTTTAGGCTGCATTTATGCCCTCTCTTCTTCGACAAGTAACGTCTTTCAAATTCACACGCGTTCTATAGCAATACATACATCACAACAACCACCCCAGAAAAAAAAACTTTCAAGAGGGCTAATTGTATATAACCAGCTCTTGACTGAGACTGAACATGACTGAACATAACATCCTGGAGCAATTGATGTCCACTTTTTGCATTTTATGCATACTGTGAAATCAGTAAGGGGCAGCTGAATGATCAGTAAAAGATGATCTGTCTGCTTACGTTGCACAGGTCATATTCTTTCTGAGTTTAATAAAAGTCTTGAGATTCCAATATTATTATACCAACAATAAACAACTCATTTTGTCAAAATATAATTAAGCATCTGTATTTCAAAACTATGGAAACTGACTGCCAGGAAAATATTGATATAAAAATAAAACCACATCCTTTCACATATTCTTATGAAGGAAAAAAAAAAAAAACCTCTCAGTCAAGTTTCCACAGTTCTCTCAACAAAGTTGAAGTTCCATTAAAAATCTCTCCGGTAATAAAGCTTGTTTGAACAGTACACCTCAGTCCACACCCTTGCTCTAATTCCACCATCCCATCGCTGTACTGATGCGACTGCAAACAAGCTTCCAACAGCCTTCACTTTTTCAGTGATCCAATTAACAAGTGCATAAGCATAACCAAGAGGTCAAGGAGAAGCATCTGGCAGAAGACAGAAACCTTTAAAGCCAGCCACGCCACTGCGAGACAAATCTACGCAATATCCATGGAAATCTACTTAACAATTCTTTCCCTGTGGGCTACCGGAGAAAAAATCTGTAGCAGAAACTAGACAAGTAAAGATGTTTGCTGTCCCTGATTTTCAAAAAAAAAAGTGAAGAAATCCAAATAGTCACCCTGGTGAGACAGCAGCACTGAAATCCTGAAGCTAATGAAATCGGCACATGATTTGCTGTATACGTCAGTTCACCAGTTAGCCCCTCCACCCTCCAAGCATCTCCCCACAAAAACAAGCTGAAAAAAAAGCTATGTCAACAGAAATAATTTGATTTCAAGCATTGTTTTTAATCCCTCTATCTCTTCCCAAGAGGATGACAACCTATACCACAGCACACTGATGATATCGTAAGACCTTCCTGAAAAAAAACCTAAAGTTTACACAACCACGGCAAGGTATAACTTTAAATATCCACACAAAAATGGCTTGCTCTTTGGTATGAACGGTGAACCAGACTTGTCGTCTACTGAGTCTTCGACAAAGTTGAGGTGTGGCTTAATAATCACAGAAGAAGTTGAAACAAAAATTTTAGGTTTCAAGAACAGTTCCTAAACCAGCCTACCCAGGATCACAAGCTATGTTAGAAACCGAGAGCACTTACGCTACGAGCAACTTAGCTAAAATATTATTAAGTACCAAGGTACAGAGGCCAAAGGTCCCTTTGCAGTCCCAACTCATCAAACCTAAGCCTCAGCTCCAGGAATTTAGAGGCGAATTTGCATTATGGAGAAGTTTGTTTTCTTCTTCCATGTCATTTTCAAATGTCTCACTTCAATGTTTGGGATCACCTTTCCCTTAGCTATTAACTCACGCCTTTTGCAAACAAAAATCTTGCCTATGGTTAAAAAACCTTGGTCACAACATGAACTAAACTGCTAGATTTTTAAACTTTTGCTTTAAGTAAAGAGGTTTGATTCTGTTTTTCAACTGCTGAAGAAAGAGACCAACTTACGCAGTTTACAAGTGATCTGGACAAGACACAGAGAGAAAGCACGTCACACAGCTTGCTACAGGCTGTGTATGGGAATGATCAAAACCAGGCAACGTGCAACAGAAATGGTACAATAGCTTACTCTTCTCCTCTGCTTTACATGTTCTGACAGGAAGCTTTGTGATATTTGCTGACTGGATTTAGAAACCCTCAAGAAAACGCGTAAGCATTCACATAAAGAATACAAACACTACACAGAGCTAATGTAAACTCATAATCATAGACAGAAACTTTGATCATCTTGTAAAAAAATGTTCAGAGAGCTATTTATTTGAAAATGGCACCTCTCTGCTGTGCCAGCAAAAAAAGTTAGTTTTGACTAGTGAAAATCTTTCTTCCTGAAACTCTGAAACACTTCATTCTCATTAGCAATGCAAAGTAACAAATACAGTATTTTTAAGGATTCATAACATGACCTAAAAAGCTCTTCTATCAGTAAGCCCATATGTTAGGAGTAGGACTTGGTTTGCAAACAGGGGTATGGTAACAAACCTTTTTCTTTCAACTGGAACAATTTTAGTAGTACAAAATTGCTTATATCATCATAGTCTATTCCTACAGAGAAATAACCATAAATCAGCATTAAAGTACAATAACTACATGCCTATTGTAACACCACGATAATATGCATTATGTTTAATATGTATATTATGTACAGTATTACTTAATAATGTACCAGTACCTTTAAAGCAATACAACACATGTTTGTAGATCACCCCTGGATATCGATGGTGAAGCACATTATGTAGCTTCTATAAGACATTCCAAGGAAGATATTCATCAGCGTATGCCAGAGATCGTCTTGATAAATTAGCTTTAAAATTCACGATGGGACAGGGCCCAAGGACAAAGACAACAAATATCAATTCCTTCATTCAGCTACCTGGTGAAAAACTGAAAGCGTCCATGAGCAAATCATTTGCATTCAGCAAGGTCCTGGTAACAAGACAGAGCGCTTGGTGAACAAAGCTGGAATTTTGGCATGTATTTGTTCAGTTGCTCAGTTGGTATTTATGTTCTGGCAGAATAAGTAGCCTTGTCTAGGACTTGTGCGAATACACTAATAAGTTGAGTAACTCTACTAGGAAACCCAATTCCAAGTCAGTGCAAAGAGAGCTAAACTGATCTCATGTTTCAGACAGACAAAAACTCACTAGAGCAGGAATCAGTGTATTGGTACTACCAGTCAATAATAACAGCTTTAAGTCCGGTCGTGCCAGGCTCTCGGTCCATGCCTGGAAATGGAACAAGCTTATCTAGGTAAACAGAGGAGTTTCTCTTGTCTGGACACATTTGAGTCCGCATCAAAGGCAGTAAAGGAGCAGACAAAATTGTCTGTGGGACAACTTTATATTAAACAAATCTCTATGAGAATGATTGACAAGGCTTATAAGAAAAAAGCAAGCCCAGTCAGGCAAACAAATACTTCTGCTAGTAGAGATTTACCTGAGACTCCAGTTCTTCCAATTTACGCTTCCTGGCATGAAGAGCTTTACTTGGAAAAGCCCAAAAATAATTGGAAGTTCCAATTCTATCAGTATCCACCATGCCATCATCAACTAAACTTTGCAGAATCTCCTTCACTGACATGGAAGCTAATAAAAGGAAAAATATCAAGTTAGAACTGCGTAAGGCCTAAACTATGGAGAACAATAATACCATAAGACAACACCTACAATCATCTGTATTAATATTTTACTATTTTGTCAGCTTGCTGGAAGACTTCAAGAAGACACCATGCCCAATACTTCACTTCAAAGAACAAATCCCTTTGAAATCAGTAGTTTATACATAAAGGCTGCCATTCTATACAGTCCGGTACCAGATGTTTGTAAAACACAACTCAGAGCTATCATAAAAATATACGTACATATTGCAGTACGATACCATAACACACTCATGAGAGGGCACATGGGAAGTTGTCTTGCAAACTTAATCCTAATATGTATTAGCTTTTAATTTCTTAATTAGGAATGTAATTACATTTTACTTTATAATGCTTATCAAAGCATTAAACAGCAGCAGAGACACTAAAGCCATCTGTCTACAGACTCCTGAGGGACAGATTTTACATTTGATTATACTCAGTTCAAATACAGAAAGTCATCTTCAGTCAGATCAAAACATTCATGAAAATAATTGTTCAATTCATTTTTAAAACGGTGAATGATACCGTTTTAAAATAGTATTTGCTAGAAAATGATGTCTGTTCAACAATGGAAAATACTTATTATCCCCAAATGCTGCAGATGTAAATACTTTTTAGCTTATTCATGGCTTTCAGTGTCTGACCTTCAATTTCAAGTCTAAAGAGGAAGGACCAGATCCTAGGTCTTAGGGGAACTGTTCTAGATCAGGAACACCCAATCTTTTGGAAGCTGTGGGCTAGATGCCAGTAATGGGGGCATTTCCTTAGACTAAAGCTCTACTTTTCAAAGTAAATGGGCCTTAGGTTGTGTGTCTAAATACCTCCACAATCAAGGACAGGATGAATTTGGTCTTTTCAGTTTCAAATGTATTAATGGTTTTAGAAATTCTGTACTGGCAGATCACTAAATACGAACTTCCATTGCTTATACTTGCTGTTTTGCAGTCGTAATCAAACTTATGCAGTAAGTATTTTGACAAATCAATAAAGAAAGCATCACATCTCTTTAGATACCTATAAGTGCCTCTGCTATGTGCTGACATAGTTGAAAAACATTGCTTTGCAATTTGTAGGTCTGGAATTCTTTCAACAAAATTTCTTCTTTATCCATTACTGAAGTACTCTCAATGCCACAAAGATATGCTAATCAAGGACCATGGTAATTATGCAAATATAATATTTCTCCTCCCTTTTGTCAATGAACATGGAAAGAAGCAGAATGAGGAACGCATAAAACAACTCAGCAGCATAAGATAAATAATCTTGGACCTAATCCAAAACCAACGCATCTCATCAGGAAGGCTCTTGCTACAAAGACAAACCGCTTCTATGTATAGTTGTTCAGCCATTCTGCTGGGAAAACTCAACGAAACACGGTGTCCACCTGGGCTAACATTTGAAGATATATTTGTGACACTACAGACAGAAATTTAAATCCACTGTTCACTAGCGAAGTAATACATCATGATTTTCATAGAATGAAAGTTACTGGAAGTCAGGTATCTCAGAACCTATGAGAAATTCCATCCGTGTTTTATTGGTTAATTTGAATTTAGCTGTCAAATTTTAGTAACCTCCTATTTTGGCCATATTGTCCAATGTAAGTGACAAGCATTAGCAAATCAACGTAGGAGCATTCTGTTGATGGGATTTTTTTAAGCTACACCACTGCTGTTGACCAGACACTCTTCCCAGCTATTTTCCCGATTATTATTACGATCACAAGCCTAGAACTAAAACCAGGAAAATTTACACTGTATGATCTGACTGAAAAATGATTAATGGTTCAAGATAAATAAATTGAGTGAACACTTACTAATCCCTTTTTCTTTTGGAGCAATCTTCTCTATATCCTTCAACTGGAACACATCTTTCTGTGCAAAACATAAAAGACACTTCAGCTCCAAAAGACAGCATCATCTAAGCCTCAGTGGTTTTCTACTAAACCAACACGAACAAAAGCAAGTAGGAAATATAACGTCTGTTTATGTTTTGCTAGAGAAATATGCTCTACATCCCTCAATGGAATTAGAACATTCTGAGAATTAAAAAAAATTAAAAAAATAAAAAAAGATTATTATTGTAACAAGGTCTCTTCTTTTCTTTGTTGTTCTGAAGTCACCATATCTTGTCTAAAGTTAGACTGTAAACCCCTTAGGGTAGACAGAGCCAAGGCTAGACTGGCAGCACCAGATGCACTGCATTGCTCAAGTATTCAAATGTCACAATAATTTTAATAAGCAGGTGAAGCATCATGAGTTACATATGCCACCAACATAAGGGTTGCTCTGCTCTTGAATCTCCAGGTTTCTTCCACTCAGTCACCTCTTTCAGGTCTGTTATCTTTTCTCTTCTAACACTTTTGATTTCTTCCTCCTCCAATAATGTGCAGTGAGCTCATTCCCAACCTGTGGCTACAGACACAAAATGAGAAGATATTTGCCCTGCTCCCAAATAGGGAGGACGGTAAGCATTTAAGAACACCTGTGAATCCCCACTGCACAACTTCATTGGGGACCTGCCACCTGATCGCTACACACAGCGAGCTCTGTCCCACTAAGTTAGACCTTAATGACACGGGGCCTAAGTGGAAAGTGCAGCTCAATATACCTGATTCGCTTTTACCTGCAGTTAACCTCCCTTTAGCACCAGTTTTTCCACTGGATATAAATGCAGGACAGTTATAAGAAAGTTACTTACTGTTTCAAAGAAGATCTCCATCATGCGAGCTCTCTTCTCTTCAAAGCTTAGTCCTTTTTTCTTGGACTAGAACAGAAAAAAAAACACACACACACACACTCTGCCATTTGAATAATTACCATTTTGCTCAGAATTGGTATCTGATTACCCTTAATCTTTTAAAATACCTTACCGCTTCCCATAGAGCTTCCACTTCTGTCCCAAAGAAACATTACAGCAAACTAATCCACCCGCAGTAAATGAAACCGATGTACATATATTAAGTTTGGAACCGATGTTACGCAACCTAATCCATCTCAAGCCTCACTGTTTTTTGGCATACCTAAACTGTTCCTTTTTTTGCCTTACTAACTTAAAAATTACGTTTATACCTATTCTCAGTAACTTGCCCAAATGTGCGATTGCCCTTAAAAAGATAAGTGATGTATTTTACGTGTTTAAAATTGTTTTTAACCTTTTTTGAGAAAGACACTAATATGAAATGTAGCCCATTTAAATTTTTTAAAGCAGTTAAAGTGTATTTTCAGGTATTAGGTTTTTCTTCACATTCCCCACCCAATTTTATAATGTCAAGGTCACGTTTTTAAAATGACATTTACTTCTTTTCTCTGTAGTTGCGTGACCAAGCAGCAAAGGACTCCGACTGAAATAGAAGCGCAGAAATGGCTACTCACAAACTGTAACCAGTAATACAAACTAGAGAAATATCTTCCTCTGATTGCTTTCCGAGATATTATTTTGGCTTGTCCTTGTAACATTAGGATATGAAATCTTTCATGGAGAATTGGGATTTTTTTTTTAATCAGTGCCTTAACTACAATGAGATGACATTTTGAGGGAAAAAAATGTGCATAACTTCTTATAAACTAAGAAATTACATAAATGCACTTGCAAACAGGAAAAAGTTAATCTGATGAGCTCTTTCTTACAAGCAGCAAACAGCATTCATATATATCAGTGTTTGTCCCTTCCCCCAGTCTCCGGTTTGCAGGCTGTAAGACCCTGTACTGCTATGTGCAGCTAGAGGAAATTAAAAAAACTGATAGGAAGAGCAAAATAGGATGTTGTCAGAAAAAGATCTCCCTTTAAAAAAAAGACATCAATAACATTGTCTTTGAGTCAATGAAACTGGGAGATTCTAACAGATGGTATTTTGCGGGAGACGACTTGCTTTGCGACCAAGCGCCTACAGAACGACACCGACGTAGTTTTTTACTTCTTCGCTGCTGCTTCTTCTTTCCTAAGTGAACTACGTGGCAGGGCAGCAAAACGTTTAAACTCTGCGTCTACAACGAAACAGCCAGACTTCAGACTTTGGAAAAATTAAAGACTAGTTTATTGCGCTGCAACGACACACAGGCACGAACAAACGTGATTCAGCGTTACGTTCAACAGAAGCATCACTACACTTCTTCAGGAGCCCTCCCCTCCCTTCGGCTGTAGCCAGCGATGCCCGGCTTCAGCCCTGGTGACACGGCGACCGTTGTGGCAAC